GTCATGGGGGGCTTTAAAAACCAGAGGCTTTACGGCGACTTAAACATGTAATATTTTTAACATTGTGCGGTTTATCTCCTCCTCCCCCATCTCTCTCCAGCACTGCACCCGGGGGTTAGCAGGGAGGAGAGAGACCTTGCAGTGTAATGAGCACTTATTTGGCTGCTCATCTGGAAAGTGTGGATCAGGGCTTATACTTTATTCCTTTCGCTGCCAGAGCCGTTTTTTGCGTATTTTGCACACATTTAAAAATAATTTTAGGCCTGAAGATTACATAAAACCCCTTAACATTATGCATTTTCTGAAAGCGGAGACCCTAGAGAATAAAATAGTGGTAGTTCCAATTTTTCTATGTTGCATGATATTACCGCAAAATTTCAGTAAGACATTCAAGTAAGTTATTTTTAGGGCACAAAAAGCAATAAATTGCCCTATTTGTAAAATATAAAAGATGAGGTTGCAGTGATTAAATAATATCCAACATGTCAAACCTTACATTTGTGTGCACTCGTGAAATGGCGACCAACTTCAGTACGCTATATTTTCTATAGGTCGACACTTTTAAAGCTCCTTTTTATAGGTCACCATTTAGTGGTGCGGAGGAGGTCTGGTGCTAGAATTATTGATCTCATTCTGGCGATATGTAACGTGTATCGCAATCAACTGTGTCATGCTTAGGCGCCGAAGCATGTGCTTTTATGTTTCAATGTGTGTATACGTGTTGACACAACTTCCGGTTCCAACCATGTATGTGTGACATCACTTCCGGTGTGACGGTCCGCGGCCATCTTTAGCGTGGGAAAAGAGGTCTGATTTTACAATTTTGACAGTTCTTCATTGCCAAAACTGAGCAATTGTGTCTGCCTAGCTGAAATTGTCAGAGGAGCTATTGGGAACAAGTTTGAGTCCTGATTTATATACAAAAAGGCTTTTATTCAGTTTGAAAATGTGAGTGTATTTGGAGCATCACCTGAGTATTAAATAGTTTTTAACAGTATTACGCTAGTTTGGTATTTTTTTTTTCTTTTTTGCATTTTTCTCATCCATCCATGCATGAGAATGCATTCGGGGTAAATTAAGGAGGAATCATGAGCGAAGGCTTGAGAGTAACAAGCTGGTCATAAAGTACCCCTATCCATCTATCCGTCCATCCAGGAGTGAGAGCTTGGAGGAAGATAATAGTGGATCACCATCTGTGATGTGGAAGATCAACTTATCCTATGGAAATTGGGGCTTAATTACTTTTGAGTGTAAGGAAGGGTTGTTGGTTTTTTTGTTTGGTTTTTTTTTTTTTTGAATTGTTTAGAAAATATATTTATCGGTATATAGCAATATATCATTGGCATCTTTTTCTTTTATGTTTTTCACTATATGAGATCGCATAAAGCGTTCTATCATCTCTGAGGACACCACACCCCACCTGCAGGCTTGCCTTTTTTTGCATCTTAAAGCTATACCATTTTGGGAATTCACAGCAGTTGGGTAATGTGGATCTACGAAATGCTTTTCACTGAAGATGTGAGCAAGCTGCAAAATTTTATAAAGTTTGAGCAAATAATTTTTTCACATTTTTTTGGGGACATTGGACTCTAATTTTGGGACTTTCTTTGGACTTTTCACATATAATTTGTCACAGTTTTATTTGTATTTGCGCTATTTTTTGATTTTTAGTCAATCCTTGAACAGCAGCATTTAATTTTTCACTTATTTCCTTGACGCAAGTTTGATACATATTTAGTTTAAAAAAAATGTGGTGGGGGGTGTGTTTTGTTTTTTGTTTTTTTTTTTTTTTTTCTTTTTTTAAATCTCATTACTATGAATGTATGGCACCCTGAAAAATTAACTGTTTTTTTCATAGATGTTATAGGTGATTCATAGATGATTCATTCTTATCAGTGGCAATGTCAAATTTTGAAGTTACTTTATCTCTATAAAAATGTGCTTAACAATTGCTTGAATTGAGCGCCTTCAGTTTAGGAAAAGTAGAAAAAAAATGACAGTAATTCAGTCTGCTACAATCATTAGAAAAACTGTAAGGCAAATTGATGCAGTAGTTAAAAACCTCTGACACTTTATACAGCAGGCAGGGATGAACAGGCAGCCAAATAATTGTATGATAGTTTTGCTGAAGGTGATGGACATATGTTGCCTATAAACCACTCAATTAAAGCAAACAACGCTCCCAAATTTTAAGTCTAGTTTTCTTTTTGCTGTGCGTAAAAGGCCTGAAACAAATTCCTCAGGCAGGGTTAATGCACCGGAATATCTTCCGGTTTGTTAAATATCTTACTACATCTGACCATTTTTATTCTTTTAGTGTTAATGGAGAAAAGTATCAAAGGAACTGTCACAGTATTGGCATCAGCCAAGCATCATCCCCCATTTAACAGATTAACACCCAAATTATTCTAAGAATAGTTACCACTTCAGCTTTCACACCTGTGAACTGACTATGAACAAGAGTAATTTTTTTACATTTCTGCTATGGACCTCTATTGACTCTGCAATAACTTCATTCATTAAAATAACAGGGCTTCTTTTTGGTGATTGCTTTGACAATAGGATTTTATGCAATCCGTAGACAATGTCATGGTGTTTTTTTTTTTTTTTTTTTTTTTTGTTTGTTTGTTTTCCCCCCGCTCCTTTTTTGAGGGTTTTAAAATTTAACTGTATACTTATGTACAGTTAACATTTTATTTTTATTTATCATTTTGTCCCATCTTAGATGACTGTAAAATTAGGATTCTGGTACAAGGCTGTGCAGAGTTTTTTGCAAATGATAAAGGCTTTTTTCCCCAAATAAAAAAAAAAAAAAAAAAAATTGGCAGGAAACTCCTGCTAGTTAAATGGTGAAGAAGCAGGAGTTCAAACTAAAGGTTACTAAAGGGTTAAGTAATAGCAAACTTGTTTTAAAAAGGGGGACGACGACACATCAGGTTCCTTTTTTAATTGACATTTGCAGATCAAAACTTCTCCCTTTTTTGATCTGCAGATGACCGAAAAAAAAAAATGGCTACAAAAGTTACAATAATACTTTGTATCTCGTGTCTGAACAGTGGCTATAAATAATATTGTGTCAGTCCACATTTATTGCAGCACCAACAGCAATTACAGCTGCTATATTTACACAACTCTTGACTGCCATTTTGACAGTCTGGAATTTATCTTGAGTACAAAGGGGAGGGGCAGGAGGACAGGATGTACTATGCACATCTTGTGCACTTTTGACTTTTTTTTTTTTTTTCATCTTTCTTACATGGTAGTACATCCAGTGCCCACAATTAGATAATTACATAGCAGAGCCACCCAATACAAATAATGAAGGTTGTGTGTGTTCAAATGTGTGCCCGAATCAGGAGGTGTGTTTGTTTTTTTTATATATATTTTCTCTTGGGACAGTGGCGGAAGTGGGAAGGGATCAAAAGAGAAAATCCCTTGTTAGACACGAGTGTCCCCCATTTTTCCTCATTATACATTCCAGTGACAAACATAAAATTGTCAACCAAAAAAAGGGAATCTCCCCAGGGGGAGAACACAGCAATATTAACCTGAAACTTTCTAATTGCTTTTTGATTTTTAGTGACTTTTTAACCACTTCAATACAGGGCACTTTTACCCCCTTCCTGTCCAGGCCAATTTTCAGGTTTTAGCACTCTGCTACTTTGAATGACAATTGCGCGGTAATGCAACACTCTACCCAAACTAAATTTTATCATTTTGATCATACAGCTAGTTTTTTCTTTTGGTGGTATTTAATCACTACTGGGTTTTTTTATTACTTGCTAAATTAACCAAAAAAAAATGAAAATTTTGAAACACCCCCACATTTTACTTTGTTTCTGTTATAAAAGTTTGCAAATTCTTTGTTCTTCATAAAATTTATTTGCCGGGCCAAGATGTATTCTGCCACATGTTTCATTTTGAAGTCTATAACTTTCCTACAGACTAAATATTAAATACTGATTTGGGTTATTTTCACCAAACTATGGGAAATACAGGCGGCCAATTTGAAAATTGATCAATCCTGAAGTACTGACAGCCAATCTAATTTCTTGAGGCCCAAAAATGTCAGAACAGTACAGATATCCCCCAAATGACCTATTTTTGCAAAGTAGACAGTCCAACATATTTCATAAGAGGCATGGTGAGTGATTTTTGAAGTTGTATTTTTTTTTTATTTTTTTTTTTTGAAAATGAAGACATTTAAGAAATTATATTTCACAATTGCACTATTTTTACAATACGGTCACCAGTGCAGTACAGTGTCAGCATATAACTGGTGTGGCGGTGATAAGGGACACTGATGACAGGAAAAAAAATAGTACAAAATGATTTTTTCATTTTTTTTCAGTTATTTTGCACCAGAGTAGTATGTTACCATAGTCACCAACATTGTACTACTTTTGGGAAATGATCAGATTTTTTCATTTTTTTTTTTTTTTATGTGTACTACTTTTTTTTTTTTTTTACACAATTTGATTGCTTATAGCAAAGAATTTAACTGAATGAAATTGATTCATTCAGGGGTTTTTTTCGTTGTGATTAGCTATGATTGGCTACGACTAATCACATGACACAGATGAGCTGTGATTGTCCCAGCCTGTGCATGTGATCGCTGTGACCATTCTCAGCTAGACAGTTGTATACAATGGATTGCATAAAAGGAAGCCATCCATTGTATACAACTGTCATGTGACCTGCTGTGATTAAGGCCAGTACACAGATCTGTCATCGGCTGTGTCTGAGGCACACGGCCGGTGACAGATCTCGCCACAGCGCGACCCTGCGGGCACACGCAAAGCGCGATCTGGGAGGAATGTCATATGACACACTCCCGGGCAGACAAAGTGTTCGCCCGGCTGTCATTTGACCATAGGCCAGGTGGCAAGTGGCTAAAAAAAAAAAAAAAAAAAAAAAAAAGTCTCCACCTACATTGTATGCATCTGCTGGCTTCATTGCTATTTGAATAACGTGCCCTTTTTTTTTTTCTTTATTTCCTCAGAATTCAATTCGACATAATTTGTCTCTACACAGCAGATTTATTCGCGTACAAAACGAGGGCACAGGAAAAAGCTCTTGGTGGATGATCAATCCAGAAGGAGGAAAAGGTGGGAAGGCACCTAGGAGACGTGCCGTGTCAATGGACAACAGCAACAAGTACACTAAGAGCCGGGGAAGAGCAGCAGCAAAGAAAAAAGCATCAATGCAGGTGTCCCAAGACTCTACAGATGATAGCCCATCACAACTGAAATGGCCAGGAAGCCCAACATCACGTAGCAGTGATGAGTTGGATGCTTGGACAGATTTTCGTTCCCGTACAAACTCTAACGCCAGCACGATAAGTGGTCGTCTATCTCCAATTCCAGCAACGACTGAGCTTGATGATGTTCAGGACGATGATTCTCCTATTTCTCCTATGTTGTATAGCCCTGGCAGTATGTCTCCATCCATAACAAAACCATCTACGGTGGAGTTGCCAAGGATAACTGATATGACTGGAACCATGAATTTAAACGATGGTCTAACAGAGAATCTTATTGATGATTTGCTGGATGACATTTCCCTCACTCCATCTCAGCAGTCATCTCCTAGTGTTGGCATGCAGAGAAGTTCCAGCTTTACTTATGGCACTAAGGGCTCAAGCCTTGGCTCTCCATCCAGTAGCTTCAACAACACTAGTAGCTTCAATTTCCCATTGACGTCTCTTCGTCAGTCTCCAATGCAAACCATTCAAGAGAACAAACAAGCAACATTTTCTTCCATAAACCATTATAGCAACCAGTCTCTTCAGGACCTGCTGACCACTGATTCACTTAGCCATAGTGACGTGTTAATGACTAAGTCTGACCCCCTTATGTCCCAAGCCAGTACTGCAGTCACTGCTCAGAATTCTCGTAGAATTATTCTAAGGAGTGACCCCATGATGTCGTTTGCAGCCCAGCCTAATCAAGGGGGAAGCCTGGTTAATCAGAACTTGCTCCACCACCAGCACCAGTCCCATAACTCATTTCTTGGTGGCAGTCGTGCCTTGTCAAACAGCATAAATAACATTGGTTTAAATGACAGCAACAATTTAGACTCGTCCAAACACCAGCAGCAGTCCTCAGTCACTCATTCTATGCAAGCCCTCTCAGACACACTCTCAGGACCCTTGTACTCCACAGGCATGAACCTTCCAGTGCATGAAAAGTTCCCAACTGATTTGGACCTGGAAATTTTCAGTGGGAGCTTAGAATGTGACATGGAGACCATCATTCGTAATGAATTAATGGATGCAGATGGGCTGGATTTTAACTTTGATTCCCTCATTTCTGCTCAGAATGTCAGTCTAGCGGTGGGAAACTTCACAGGTGCTAAGCAGACATCGTCACAGAGTTGGGTACCAGGTTGACGAAGCGATGGAAGCATGAGTTTACCAGGTCAGTGTCTGCCTATAAAACCTGTATAGTTGCAGTAAAATCTTGAGCAAAATGTATTGCAATTTTGATAATGTTTTTAAACATTTCATTTTTAGATACTAGTGAAAAAAACAAGCCTGACTGCTTGGTTTGAAGGTTTTAGTTTTTTTTTTTTTTTTTTTTTCTTAGCTTGAACTATACATACTAGGTTCAAATGGGCAAAAGTGGCTTTATGAGAATAAGAAGTGCGATGCTATGAGCTCAACCCTGTCTCTCAGAAAAATATGGAGACTGCCATTGTTGACCCTCTTTTGAAAATGTTGACCCTCTTTTGAAAATGCTGGTTGCATTACTGTATGGGTTCAGCACATTTGCGTCACTGATCTGAAACAAGTAGGTGTCACAATTCCCCATCTCTATAATTTGTTCCAGGTAGACTCAAAGCATTGAAGTCACAGCATCAGCATGACAGCCAGGCAACCAGCATTCTCAATAGGCAGGTCATCAATAGCAGCTTTTGTAATTTTCTCTTAAAAGGTTCACTTTTAAAGGTGAACTGTAGACACATACAAAAGATACTATTGAATGCAGCTCTGTATTCATTAATATATCAAAACTCCAGGTAAAGGGAAAGCAAAATAAAAAAAAAAAGCCTTTTTTTTTTTTTATTTTTTTTTTTTTATTTTTTTTTTTTGCCCAAGGCGCCAGGGAAGAGGACCTTTACCTACCTCTCCCCGGCTGTTGGTGCTTACCTCTTATCTCCAATGTTTTGGGTTGTGAGTGGGTTCTATGGACAAGCGGATCACGTGATACGGTAAACTACCAATCACAACAGCCTTTTACCACGTGTCACCGGGTAAATACAGTTGCCAGTTATAGGCTGCACTTTCCTCACACTGTCGCAGCATGAAGAAAGTACTGCCGATAACCGGCAATTGTCAAAGAAGTGATCAGCATTGATCACCTATGCCTATCAGTGCAGCCTCATCAATGCACATCAGTGAAGGAGAAAAATAACTTTTTTCTGTTTTTGTTTATAGAGCAAAAGATAAAACACCCAGCGGAGATTAAATGCCACCAAAAGAAAGCTTTTTGTTTGAAAAAATGATACAAATTTCATATGGGCACAGTGTTGCATGACCGTGCAATTGTCATTCAAAGTGCGACAGCGCTGAAAATTGAACTGGGCATAAGTGCCCGATAGATAAGGGGTTAAGAAAGTAAAACCTTTTTTCTTGTATCTTAGTTTATTAAAAAAAAAAACATTTAATACTTGCAATGAGAACAGCCCCAATGCAAATGTGTTTTCCCTTTTCTCTAAAATCCCATTTTAAATAAAGTATGCACCGTAGTGACGGGAATAAGGTCTTCAGTCTGATGCATCTGCTTTCACTAGGCAGTCACAAGGTAGGGCTGCGAAGGAGACCTGTATGTATTATGAACTGCAGCAGAGAAAAATCAGATTTCCTGTCCTGCCAGAATGGGTTGTGCTGTGTAAGGGTAGCCATACACACTTAGATAAATACCAATTTTTTTCCAACCAAAATAATCGATCTATAGTCAACAACCCATTTGACCGATTGTGTCCACACACACAAGGAATTGGCTTACGATGAATAATTGTAGATTGCAATTTATGATCGCAAGTAATCAATCACATCTGTTTCCATGTAATCTCAAAATCTGATCAGCTGGAATATGATCATGTTCATGAAAAAGTATTTTGGTGCCGCCAGTCAGTGCAGAACAATCGATAATTTTCCATCATGGCCCATTGACCCCATTTGATCTAATCAATTTAGATTCAATCTTGATTGGATTATAAGGGGTGTTATTTATGGTGTTTTTGGGGGTAATTTTTTTTTTTTTTTTTAATTTTTGAAATGGTCAAAAATACACATTTTTTGCAGGTAAAACCGCTCCCTTGATATTTATTTTTTTTTTTTTTTTTTTTGTGTGTGTGTGCGCGCAAAATAAAGTGTGTGTGTGTATATGTGTATATATACATGATTTGCATTTCTGGGTAGGGGGCACGCACGCGCCGCCCTACCTGCGCCGCCATTGACAGCTACAGATGTTGATCACTGGGTCCCAGCCGGAGTTTCCCCTCCGGCGATCTCCTGCCAGCAATAACATGTTTCTGTGTATTTCTCTGCACAGCAGCATGTTTCCCTAGTAACACACACCATTAACCCTTTGATCGCCCCAGATGTTAACCCCTTCCTGCATAGTGTCATTAGTACCGTGCCAGTGCTTTTTATTAGCACTGATCACTGTATAAGTGTCATTGGGATGTCAGTGGCAGTTAGTCAGATCCTACCCAGTGTCAGATTGTTTACAGCGCAGAAAATAAAAACCACACAGGTGATCAAATACCAAAAGAAAGCTCTATTTGCGGGGAAAAAGGACATAAATTTCACTTATGTACAGCATTGTCACGCAGTTGTCAAAGTAACGCAGCGCTGTATCGCTGGAAGGGGGGTAAATCCTATGGATGGCAAGTGGTTAAGTTACATTTTGCAAATAAAGATGAAATGGCCAAAAACATATACTACAAAATCCTATAATGGTATTATTATTCTAGAGTCGGTATTGTGAATACACCAGACAGTACTAAATGTATTGCAAATAATGTCGGACTTTATATGCAAATGAAAACCCTAATAGTTGATGCATTTTATTTACAGAAAAAAAATCATTACATTAATTTTAAATACTGCTAGTGTAGTAAAATGTATTTTCAGAATGATTATGTTTTTGCAATTGAATATTGCATGATTATTCACTTGCATAATTCAGAATTTTAAACGTAAATTCATGTTTTTTTTCTTATATAGGAGTGTTACTGGCGCTATGCAGAATTCCCTTGCTGTACAAATGTGCAACATGTCTTCTGTACAACACATCAACACAGAGGCCAATAATTGATGTTCTGTGTACGGAAGCTGAAGGCATTCATAATCATTCTAAAGAATGTTAAAACGTATTTTGTAAATTCAACAGTAGGATTGCATTGGTTCTTCTTGTTTTTTTTTTTTTTTTTTTTTTTTTTTTTTTTAAATTGAGGGACTTGTCAATGTGTACTGGTTTCATTTACACTAGTCAATTTTTTGGGGGGTTGAGTAGGGGGCTTATTCACATGGAAGGGGGCCCTTGTTAAAGGGGAAAGCACCCCCCATGTTGAGGGCATGTGGTCTGGTATTGTTCATGAAGGCAGATGGGGGCTGCATCCTTGTCTTGTCCTTTCCTGGCCTGCCATGCTGCATGCTTGGATGAGGGTCTGGTATTGATTAGGGGGTGGGGGAAAATGCCCCTCCACATACCTATTATTTTAGTGTGTGTGTGTGTGTGTGATCCCCTCAAATGCATATCGGACATGAGGGGCCTGGTAAGGATTGGGGTGGAACCATGTGCATTTTTTTTTCTTTCAGTCTGCACTTTGTCTACATTCTGCTATCAAGTCATGGTTTTTAGGATGCTGGCATGTGCTAGGTCTGTTTTTTTATATAAAAAAAAAATCATAACAGTACAGTAACTGAAAGCTAAAAATTGGCCTGGGCAGGAAGAGGGGTTAAAGTGCCCAGTATCAAAGATGAAGTCAACTCCAGAACTTCAAGTGTTGGAATCCACCATAGTAAGCAAAGCAGGGAATTCTTGCCCTCTTTTGATGGATGATGCTCCAGCATACATGATGTTCTTTCATCCAAAACAAGGAGAGCACTTTAGTTCACTCACTGCCATACAAAGAGGAGCTGGTCAAGCTGACACTTCTACTAGCCTCAGTATGTAGTTGCATTCCTTCAGAGGCTGTACTCGACGCACTTGGTTTCAATTATAAAAATGAGCAAGTGCAGCCTCTGCTCTTTCCCCTCTTCCTAGTCTTGTAGAAAACAAGAACAAAGCTTGAAACTTTTGAGCCTTGTTCTGGTATCTTAAGTCTTGGAAGAGAGGAAAGAGTTGGGTGGAGCAGTCACATATCCCAGCATCCCTCAATGTTCCTGGCTGCCATGCATGCCAAAACTGCATCACATGACCAACATCCAGCCAATAGAGGGACATTTTTTAAAAATGAAGGCTTTTGTCTGTGGATCAATATGGATGGGAGAAAAATATACTGATTTTTTTTTTTTTTTTTTACAAATTAACAGACAGTTGGCAACCCTGGGGGCAGTACAGGCATCAATCTAATCATGATTTATTGGTCAATATATGGCTGATATTGATGGGTAAATCGCAATCAACCTGATCCTGACCCCCACATTAGAGGTGTTTTTGTTCTGACTTGAAACAAAGTGTTATGTGCAACCCCCACTGGGTACTGTTCTACTGACCTGGTCAGATTATGCAAGATGAGCACTAGAAAATGTTTAGTGTCTTCTTTTGAGCATCAACCATGATGATACATGTACACTGCTGCCAAAATTGAATTTTGTTTCCATCTCTGGACCATTTCTGGTTTACGTTATTCGCAAGTAAGCTAATTTTATCTGACAGCAAGTGCTGTGTGTAGGGAAATGCCAATATGACTTCTTTCCTTTACGTTTTTTACCATATGTTGTAGATAATTTTACAAAAGTCTACATTTGATCATAATAATCACATATACAGAGAACATCTTTCTGTAAAAAGTGCACTTCCATTTCTTTTTCGTATAATAAAGAAAAAACAATTTGGCTCTATTTTCAATACTGCAGCAACCTTGATGGTTGGTAATGTGTGCTTTGACATTTACAACACAAGAAAGCATTATTCTTTTGTAAATATTGCTCAGAGGATTGCACTTGTCATAGGTGAATGATTTACCTTCTATGTCTAGCTTTGTAAAAGCAAAATTTGTACTCCACCCACACGGTTAGTGTTCATCTCTGCCATGTTTCAGCAATGACAGATGTTGAATGTGAATACACTTCCTTCTCTTGTATGGTGTGGCCAGCAGGTGGGACACTTCTTTGTGCACAGCTATAATAGATCCTTAGTAACTAAAATGTTTATT